AGCTGTCATCCTCGTGTCTGACTGCCAGGCTTCAGACCCGATCCCCTGGGGTGCTAGGACAGTTATAGATAGAGGCGGCTCGGGGAGGCCTCAAGAGGGTGGTCCTGGCCTTCCTGCTGACACGATTACAAGAAGATCATACAATCCATCGATGGGAAGAAAATAAGAACCATGGTCACATCTGGACCCAAAGCTTAGACGAGGTGCATGGGTGACATTTGTCCACAATCCAGCGAGGTTCTGGCCAGAGCTAGAGGCCAGGGCAGCAAGACTGTAGTGGCACTAAGGAGCATCGTGGTGCAGAGGCTGGACTGGGGGTCTGCAGGCTCCTCCCAGGGGGAGCCTTAGTGTTTGGGAGGTGGCTAACATACCTCCTTCGTGTCACCAGCAAGTGATGCCGCCTGCGGAAAATCAGCTGTAATCCTGAGCTGGATCAGCCCTGGGTGATGTGATAAAGCCTCCTACAAGAGGGGGCACCAGACAGTGAACCAACCAACAGGCTGATGAGTTTCTGACCTGTGTTTATCGTGCTTTCGTAGCCAAGAATGAGGAGAGAGTTGAATGGCTCACCATGAAGATTTTAACAACTTAAGAGGGTTCCGTGTCTCACTGCATTTCAGTGTCTCCCGGAGGAATTCAGGAGGTGTTTAGACCCAGTGGAGACTAACGGCCTGTTGGTTCCTCATCAACCTGGCAAACCCACCAGCCCTCTATGGCCAGACCTTGGTAAGTGCCTTCCCTTGTTCTAACAAAACCCTTTCCACCCACGCCTGTGATAAGCTTTTATTATTTTTTTAATTAATGGGAATGAAGATACCTTACAGCCTCCTCAGAACTTTCCTTAGGGCTTCTGCCCTTCGACTCCGGCAAGGGGGCCCGCTGCCCTGGGTCCTGCACTACAGAGGGTCCCTCTGGCCCTGACACTTCCTCTGGCCACGCCCTCCATGGGGTGGAGTCAGCAGGGCCAAGGGGACACGGTCATTGGCTCCATCCCGTGCTCTAGAAACCCAGGACCCCAGATGCCCTGCCTCAGCAGCCCCTGACCCATTTCTAGTTCCTGCACGGGCTCTCCCCAGAGTTCAGATTCCCAGGACCCACAGAGAGGCCAAAGGGCAGCTGTCTGCATGGAGGGTATAAGCAGAGCCC